GAAAACTACATGTAAATACTTTTTTCATTTTACATAATTTTTTTTAACATTTTTTTTTCAATCCATGTATCAAAATCGGAGTGATTTTTTAGAGGGGGGGGGGGCTAAATTAGTAAAACAAGAATACAAACGTAATATGTGAGGTCACAAGATCTAGACTAAATAAAATGAAATGTCCTTTAAGTGAAAGTAACTGTCCGTGTAATAGTGTATGCTTATTACGTTTATAATTTACCATTGTCCATGATCCAAATTCCAACACTGCATGCATCAATGGACCACATTCCGAATACCAGCACACTGCTGTGTTTGTAGAAAACAACAGAAATGCAGTCAAAGAATGGCGTGCTGAATGGAGTTCGAAAGGACTTTCATTGTCTGCCGATTTGACAAAGGCTCCAAGTTCAATCCAGTCAAATACCTGACATTCTTAGCAATTATAATACGGTAAAAGTTGATGAGACGATCTAAAGCAAACAAAGTTCACTGTACTAACATGCTCAGGGGATGAATCGTTATTTAGCCTAATATGGTCGTACAGAGTACATTTCTATGATCTATTGTTTGCAATTTTTAGTGGGTAGAAAATAAATTATGCAAATTTCAAAATTCAATTTGCGCCAAAAATCGTTAAGAGTCCTTGCACAGTGCACGTTTGGATTTCGTGTAAACAAACAATGTATTTTACATGTGTTGTAAACGTCACTATGGGACCCATATCGAACACAACGTGGTGAAATGTTTCTAGCATTTTAATATTTATCTACTTTTCAGGTGACAACGAGCTGCACGAAGGTTTGATTAAATGCACAGATGTTGAGAAATAAGCGTGAATAACAAAACATTTGGATCCAGGATGTGGAGACGGCGAACATTTGCATATATGACAGACAAGTGAGACCCAAGTCGGAGAATAATGGCGAGCAGATTAGATGCTAGCAGACAGGACGCCAGATACCTTGATGAAGATAAGAACAGATAATAAATACATATGCTGTTTACTTAAGACATGGATGACAAGTCGTCTTGCTATTGATGCTTTCAACGTTTATTGGCACACACGCATGGATAAACACTGTTTGATGTATACAGTAATACGGTGTATTTGGGTAACCAAAGCGACATTATTTTATTATTCTGCAAAAAAAATGCGACAGAAGAAAGAAGCTAGTACATGGATGTACAGTGATGTAACATTTGACCTATGACCCTAAATAGTTACGATTAAATAGAGTATCAACATAGAATCACACCATGATGTTTTTGGAAAACTGATGCACTGTGGGAAACATATATTTAAACACTGCTAAACAGTTTCTATGTCATTTTTTTCTCTAATTAAATATACCTATTATCTATATTTTTTTTTCATTGTTTCCTTGCTGTACCAACAGCTTTGCATGGCAGTCAATAAAACATTCATGATCCACAAGCAATAGGTAAATTCCATGACAACGGATTTCTCCTCGCAAAAACATTTGATTTACCACTCTGCAATATGTCGACTTCAGGGAGTTTCCACTAATGCACACATCGCCATGGCAACTGTTTTATGTATTTTGTAACCATTTTCACACCAACATTTTTCTAGCCTGAATTTGTGTGCAACTTTTTATACATTTTTTTTATGTATTTTGTGTTAATTAGTGTCAAGACTAAATAGACAAAACGGATTTTGAACAAAATTTTGTGAGAAAAAAATGATGCAATTTTATTTTGTGAAAGGAGACGAAAGTATGAAAGAGTAAATAGATTAGAATTAGAATTCAAATATTGGAAATTATGCGATGCAAGGTGAAACGAAAATTGCTAGATGAACTTCTGGGGCAAAAAAAAGCATCAGTAGTGTCTTATTTAACTATGATCTTATAATATTGTACTTCAAGTAGTCACAAATAAATGTACTACAATTACGAGAATTTAGGGTCATTAATGCAATTCATGAATATTTAAAAATTACATGAAAGTATATGAATGATATTTGTTGGGTGAATTCAATTAAAAGTGTCAGCAATCTCCATGAAGATATATAGTTATACTGAGTGTAGATCTCCATTCACAGATCATACAGTGACGATTCAGGTATGTTCAGGCAGAAATTTCATTCAAATATTATTACAAGTCCAGCAAAGTTTGCAGAAATTTATAAAATTTACTATTATACAACAGGGATTCAATGAACTTCACAGAGGCATCAAGGGCAATGTCAATATAGTACTATTCCTATGTTGTCAAGGTAATTATATTACTTTTGCCCTTGAAATCGGTGCCCTCTTAACTGCCCTGACATATGTGTAATATTTTTCTCCCATTTTAGTTCAGATAATTAATAAAAATAATTATATATTATAATTGAATTATTTTTTTGTGGATGTGAAATAGTGAACTTTGTTGTGGAAACACAGCACAATGCATACAGCACATTTGAGATGCTATTATTTATTTTTTACATTCAATAAAAGTGATCAATCCTGCAAGTAGAAACTTACATAAAGCTATCCACAGACTCCCCTGAGTGCACGTCTAATTATAACAACATCAATTTTAAATAAATAGAAAATGGATGGATCAAAAAAAAAAAAATATTTTTGATATTTAATTAATCAATTTTAAATCTAATCATCTAATAAAGTGACAAGTTTTTCTGCACACCCAGAAAAAACAAAAACAAAACATTTCTATTACATGATCTGTAGACATTTAAATAGAAAACACTTTAAACTGAAGAGTCATTGAAGTTGTAGCATTTTGAGGAAGATAAACTCTGAGAAGTACTTAGTAAAAAACTCTCATCCTATACACCTAATAAATATATGAAATGGATTACAGACTGTGTTACGGTTACGGATTTCGGCAATTATGTTAATTTGTATGTACTTCATTTAACACATTGTTCCGGAAAACAATATTAGTATCGTTTTCAATATGCATAATGAGAATGTCTCTATCTCAAAATATACATTCAATGTATATTTTTTTCTATGAAGGCGATGTTATATAATTAACCAGCGTATGAATGTCAAGTCATGGAAATAACGAATATAATCAAGGAGGAAATCTATTTTCTGGTATTTATTACCATACCTGATCTGCTTATACAAAATACACCATGCATACAGGATTTTCTAGCAGTATATCACTGGGGTACTTAAACCTTCGAATGCAAACTTTCACAAAATAAAACTGCTTTATTTTTTTGCCATTTTATCCAAAAAACAATGACATCAACTTCATCTTTATGAATATTTATGAGTTGCAATAGCAGTTGAATTCAACCAGCCAATCAATGAGCACAGTGCGCAATGCCCTCATTTGAAAACAGTGTTATTCAATCGGTCAATAGAATGCTCTCGATTCAGTTTAAAATGTGAAATTTATAAATATATAAGATAAAGATGAAGGGAATGCTTTTGTTGCACTGTGAGTACAGCCAGTATAACCAATTACAAATTAGGTCCATTAACTCCAAAATTAATTTTAAAAAAAACTATGGCAAAATGCATCAAATATGTGTGCAGTAGAATATATGGAGTTCAAAGGTCAAGACAGGGGAGGGGAGGGGAGGGGAGGGG